TAAGATCAGGAACAAGACAAGGCTGTCCCCTCTCCCCATATCTCTTCAATATTGTACTGGAAGTTCTAGCTAGAGCAATAAGACAACAAAAGGAGATCAAGGGGATACAAATTGGAAAGGAATAGGTAAATCTTGCACTATTTGCAGATGATAGTTTACTTAAGTGATCCAAAAAACTCTACCATGGAACTCTTACAGCTGACAAACACCTTCAGCAATGTGGCAGGATACAAGATCAACTCAAGAAAATCAATAGCCCTACTATATACAGACGATAAAAGGGCCGAGAAAGAAATCAGTGAAACATCACCCTTTACAATTACCACAAACAACATAAAATACCCGGGGGGAACGCTAACCAAACAAGTGAAAGACCTGTATCGAAAGAACTTTGAGTCTTTAAAGAAAAAATTAAAGAAGACCCCAGGGAATGGAAAGATCTCCCATGCTCTTGGATAGGTAGGATTACATAGAAAAATGGCAATCCTGCCAAAAGCAATCTACAGACTCAATGCAATCCCCATCAAAGTTCCAGCACAATTCTTCACAGACCTTGAAAGAAGAATTTTCAACTTTATATGGAAAAACAAAAAAACCTAGGATAGCCAAGACAACCTTGCTCAACAAAATAATGTCTGGAGGCATCACCATCCCTGACCTCAAGCTCTATTATAGAGCTATAGTCCTGAAAATGGCTTGGTATTGGCACAAAAGTAGACAGGTAGACCAATGGAATCAAATTGAAAACCTTGAGATTAATCCACAAACCTATGTACACCTGTTTTTCGACAAAGAAGTGAAAATTATACAATGGAAAAAAGATAGCATCTTCAACAAATGGTGCTGGGCTTAACTGGATATTGGCATGTAGAAGACTGCAGATAGATCCATGCCTATTACCATGCACAAAACTTAAGTCTAAATGGATCAAAGACCTCAGCATAAATCCAGCCACATTGAACCTGTTAGAAGAAAAAGTGGGAGGTACCTTTGAACGAATTGGTACAGAAGACTGCTTCCTGAACGTAACACCAGTAGCACAAACACTGAGGTCGGCAATTAATGGGACCTCCTGAAACTGAGAAGCTTCTGTAAGGCAAACGACACAGTCAGCAAGACAAAAAGGCAACCCACAGATTGGGAAAAGATATTCACTAACCCCACATCTGATAGAGGGCTGATCTCCAAAGTTTACAAAGAACTCAAGAAAATAGTCTCCAAAACACCAAAGGATCCAATTAAAAAGTGGGGGAATGAACTAAATAGAGAATTCCCAATAGAGGAGTATAAAATGGCTGAGAGACACTTGAGAAAGTGCTCAACACCATTAGCCATTAGGGAAATGCAAATCAAAGCAACTCTAAGATATCTTACTCCTGTCAGAATGGCTAAAATCAAAAACACCAATGACAGTTTGTGTTGAAGAGGATGTGGAGAAAGGGGAACACTCCTCCACTCCTGGTGGGAGTGCCAACAGCCACTATGGAAATCAGTATGGAGATTCCTTAGGGAAATGGGACTCAGTCTACCACAAGACCCAGCAATTCTACTCTTAGGCATATACCCAAAAGATGCCCATTCACACAACAAGGATGTCTGTTTCACTATGTTCATAGCAGCATTATATATAATGGCTAGATCCTGTAAGCAACCTAGATGCCCCACAGCTGAAGAGTGGATAGAGAAAATGTGGTATATTTACACAATGGAGTACTACTCAGCGGAAAAAGACAATGGAATCTTGAAATTTGCAGGCAAATGGAAGGCACTAGCATCCTGAGTGAGGTAACCCAGACACAAAAAGACAAACATGATAGATATGGATCAGGGGAGTGTCAGTTTACAATCCCAGTGCCAGTGAGTCTGGGAAATTGGGAGGTTCCCAAGAAAGATGTATGATACCCCAGAGAAGTGGAATGAGGCAAGATCTCCTGAGCAGATTGGGAACATCGGTGGAGGAGAGAGGGAACCAGGAAAAAGAGAGGGGGATAAGAGGAGGGGAGAAGAAGGCATACGGGAGCAGGAAGGTTGAGTGGAGGTAAGAATAGAGGAGAGCAGGATAAGAGATACCAAAGTAGACGGAGTCATTATAGGCTTGAGGAGAGAGCTGACACTAGTGAGATCTCCAGAGATCTACAAAGATAACAGCAACTGGCAAACTAAGCAGTAGTAGAGAGACTACATTACTAGTCCCTCCTTGATGGTAAGGTTGATAATTACCCTATATGCCATTCTAGAACCTTCATCTAGTGACTGATGGAAGCAGAGACAGATACCCACAGCTAAACACTGAACTGAACTCCTGGAACCTAGTGACAGAGATGGAGGTGTGATGACCAAAGGGGTCAAGACCATGATGGTAAAACCCACAGACAGCTGACCGGATAAGGGGGAGCTCTTGAATCCCAGACTGATGACTAGGGGTCAACAGGGGACTGATCCAGACTCCATAAATGTAGTGTCAGTGAGGAGGCCTCAGAAATCACTGGGGCCTTGGGTAGTAGATCAGTGTTTACCATGGTGTCTGAATGATATTTGGGAGCCCATTCCAAATAGGATGCTCTATCAGCCTGGACACATGGGGAAGGGCTTACGTCCTGCCCTGGATGAAATGACAGACTTTGAAGATCCCCCCAAGGAGGGCCTCATTCTCCCTGGGGAATGATGTGGGGATGGGGTGGGGGGCTGGTGGAGGAACAAGGGAGGAAGGGTGGGAGAGGAAGCTGGGATTGACAAGTGAAGCATTCATGTTTCTAATTTAAATAAAAACATATATTGAGGGAAAAAATAGATCTTAATACAGTGTGTTAACCTTGAACAAATGAGAAAAATTAATACTTATAAACCAGTATTATTAATGTACTATACCAACTAACCACATAAAACTGGTATACTCTTTCTCAAAGTTGACACAGAACCTGAATCTTAAAAAATTCAAATGTGAGCCGGGCGTTGGTGGTGCACACCTTTAATCCCAGCACTCGGGAGGCAGAGGCAGGCAGATCTCTGTGAGTTCAAAGCCAGCCTGGTCTACAAGAGATATGTCCAGGGCAGCCTCCAAAACCACAGAGAAAACCTGTCTCGAAAACCAAAAAAAAAAAAAAAAAAAAAAAAAAAAATTCAAATGTGTATATATGCATATATCTATATATGACCTATAGCATCAGTAGCACAATGGCTTTTCTTCTACATTCACTTGAATAAAATGTAAAGACATCTAGTGTATATTCCATTAAAAAAAAACAAAGAACAAAGTTTTGTTATTGTTGTGATATCTGGAACATTTTTTAAAAATAGCTTCTCAATTATCTGGAACAAAAACTAAGAAATCTGTCCAGCTTTTCTGTAAAAGTGGCTTTTGTTATGACACTGCTGTCCACTACTTTTACAGTCATAGATCATTTCAGTTCACAAAACTGAGTCATGTCAGATAAAATAAGCTTAGACAAGCCAGGTACAGTGGCGGATGCCTTGAATCCCAGCAGTTGGGAGGCAGAGGCAGAGGCAGGCAGATCTCTATGTGCTGGAGACCACCCTGGCCTGTATACATAGTGAGTTCTAGGGCAGACAAAGCTACATACTGAGACCCTATCTTAAAAAAAAAAAGCTTAGCATGCAATTTCCAATAACAAGTACCTTTATTTTCAGCATGTCATGGACTTCCTAATAAAGTAAATGTATTCATTTCATGATAAGTGAATTCATGTTTACTAGATTCTAATAGATTTCTCATCTTGTCTTTTACAGCTCTTAATATATTCAAAACACAAGCCGGGCGTTGGTGGCGCACGCTTTTAATCCCAGCACTTGGGAGGCAGAGGCAGGCGGATCTCTGTGAGTTCGAGGCCAGCCTGGTCTACAGAGTGAGTTCCAGGACAGCCTCCAAAGCCACAGAGAAACCCTGTCTCAAAAAACCAAAAAAAAAAAAATTTTTTTTTTTTTGGTTTTTTGAGACAGGGTTTCTCTGTACAAAACACTGAAATGTTTAAGTAGATGACTATACAATTCACAAAAAGATGACGTAAACTAACTTCATATGACATAATAAAGGATTAGATTTTTTTTTTGGTTTGATTTTTTTGTTGTTTTTTTTGAGACAGGCTTTCTCTGTGTAGCCAGGCTGGCCTCAAACTCACTGAGATCTGCATGCCTCTGCCTCCTGATTGCTGAAATTAAAGACATGGGCCAATATCACTTGGCTAAAAGAAAGAAAAAAATTTATGAAGAATAAATTCCCACTGGGCAGTAGTGGCACATTCCCAGCCTTCAGGCAGGCAAATCTCTGTGAGTTTGGGGCCAATTTGGTTTACAGAGCAAATTCCAGGGCAGACTCTAAAAAGCTACAGGGAAACCCTGACCCTCCCTCATCCCCCAAAAGAAAAAGAAATTTCCACCAGTAAGAGGAAAAAAGAAGCCGGGCGTTGGTGGCGCATGCCTTTAATCCCAGCACTCGGGAGGCAGAGGCAGGTGGATCTCTGTGAGTTAGAGACCAAGCCTGGTCTACCGAGCGAGTTCCAGGACAGGCTCCTAAACAATACAGAGAAACCCTGTCTCGAAAAAAAAAAAAAAAAAAGAGGAAAGAAGAGCCAAATAAGAAAACCAAGTGTGAGCCGGGCAGTGGTGGTGCACGCCTTTAATCCCAGCACTCGGGAGGCAGAGGCAGGCGGATCTCTGTGAGTTCGAGGCTGGGCTGGACCGATAGCCTCCAAAACAACACAGAAAAACCCTGTATCGAGAAACAAAAACAAACAAACAAAAAAAAAAAAAAAAAAAAGAGGAAAAAAGAGCCAAATAAGAAAACCAAGCGTGTTGCTAAAATGCAACTTACAAGCAAGAGATGGAGGTCTCAGTGGTCAAGACCATGTGTTATGGAACCCAAGGTTGGTCCCCCGCCCAGACAGTGAGTGGCTCAGAACTGCTTTAACTTCTGCTCCAGGGAACCCAATACCCTCTTCAGGCCTCTACAGACACTGTACTCTGTACACATGCACTTCATGACATAACTAAGAAAAATTTTTTTAATCTTAAAAAAAAATTCAGGTTTATAAAACTTATAGCCAAGTAGCAAATAATATCAGTAGACTTTTCAGTCCTACCAGTAAAAATAACCACACAGAGACCATATTAATTATTAATACTCAGCCAATAGCTTAAGCTTGTTTTTAGCTAGCTCTTATAACTTAAGTTAGCCATTTCTATTAATCTGTGTGCTGCCCCGGGGCTCATTTATCTCATGTACTTACTTCCCATCCTGCTCACTTTAAGTCTCATGGTGTGTCCTCTGACTCCACCTTTCTCCCCAACATTCTCTGCCCTGAAAAATCCTGGCTTGCCATTGGCTAATGCGCTTTTTTATTAACAATGAGAGGAACACGTCTTCACAGTATGCAGGATTATTCCATTGCAAAATAGTTTTACATTTCTAGTTGACTAAATCTCTTGGGCCCTTTTTCTGGATAAATGTTTTTAAGTAGTAAAGTGACTATAAATGAGAAAAAAGCCACTAAAGTACTTACTATCCTTAAGGCTTTGAACCAGTTGGGATAATGTGGCAAGAGGAAAATTTCATTATGTAATGCTATCCCTAAGCCCATTATTACTATGACTATGGCTTCACTGAGTCTTTCAGAAAAGAGGATGGCAATCCACGAAAATAGAACAGGACTCATACTGCTAGCTAAATTAATGTAGTCTGGTTTGGCTGGACTACTTTCTGGCAGAGTAAAACCCCATCTGACCCCTCCCAAGAAAGCTAGGAAACCAGCTCCATAAGCCATCTGAGTAAAAGCTAGTATGGGGATATAAGACTTTGTTATGACCATAGTGAGTGGTGGAGCAATAAAGGGGACTAACCCCACCAAACTTATATATAATGCTGGCTTTGGGCTATAGGGTAGGTAAGTGATGGTGCTTGGTGGCCTGGGGGGAACGACTGCTTCCTTCTGATGTCTTTTAAAGTTGCATGGTGATGCATGATAGCATTGTATCTTCTTCATACACACTTGGAATGATATGGAAAGCCAAGTCCTTGGAGACAAAGGGGAAAGGTTTTGCTGAAGAGATGCCTTGGAAGAAAGTATATCTATTCTGTTGGCTCTGCGTATCACTGTAGAAGGGTACTTCAGCATCTATAAAGGAAATAGAATCAGGAGACAAAGTTTAAAAATAACATGTGGTACACAGACATGTATGCAGGCAAAACCCCATATACACTGGGGTTGGACAGATGGCACAGTGATTAAGGACACTGACAGTTGCTTCTGAAGACCCAGGCTTGATCATCCCCCCACCTCCATGGTGGCTCACAACCAGCTGTAATTCTAGTTCCAAGCAGATCGGACACCCTCTTCTAGCCTCTACATGCACCGCACACAGTGGCACACACACATATATACACCTAAAATTTTTATCTCAAAATTAAAAAGGAACAGCTATTTAAGAATCTTGATAAGCCCTCAAAAACATGCTAAGAATGATCTCATGTTGGTCTTTACTCCTTTTGTCTCCAGTTAGAATGTTTTTCTTTCAACTACCTACATGGCCATTCCTTCATTTCTGACCCGTCTACTTATATTATAAAATCCTGTCTATTATTTTCTGATAGGATTTATTCTTAGTCGAGTGAGTGAGTGAGTGTGTGTGTGTGTGTGTGTGTGTGCGCGTGTGCGCTCGCCCTCAGAGGAAGCATCAAATCTTTTAGAGCTGGAGTAACACTAGTTGGATGCTGGGATGTGCAAGGTGGAGTTATTTCTCCTGGTCCTGTCTATTCTTGATATTCCCTATCATCCTTCCCTAATACATGCTTCTCCAAAGCAGTTGCTACTTGACATAGTAAATATTTTACTTATTCATAATTTATTCATTGTTCTCCTTCCTTACTAGAATACACTCGGAACACACACACACACACACACACACACACACACACAAACAATATTGCCCTAGCCAGACAGTAATGGACAAATTGTGCTCAACTAACCTTTGAAGAGGCTCCAGAAAATTTCTGGATGAAGTGAAGCATACTGGTCTCTATTCAGAGTCTTGTTCCAGAAGATGCAGTTCTGATTAATATATTTTTACAACTAATTGGACTAGCTGAATTTGAAGCAAAAGTGCTATACAAAAAACAATATATCACTTAGTTGCCCTCATTTTATACATTAATTTTACAAAAGTAATAAATCATGAGAATCTCTTCGATGGAACACCATTTCTTTTTCCTGATTGTTTATAGTTCTGGCTGTCCAAAAAGAGCATTGTGCAGAAACTAAACATCTGGATTTAGTAAACATCTCTTACACTTCCTTAGATGCTAGTTTTCTCATCTTTTTTCTTTTTTTCTTTTTGGTTTTTCGAGACAAGGTTTCTCTGTGGCTTTGGAGGCTGTCCTGGAACTCGCTTGGTAGTCCAGGCTGGTCTCGAACTCACAGAGATCCGCCTGCCTCTGCCTCCCGAGTGCTGGGATTAAAGGCATGCGCCACCAACGCCCGGCTTCTCATCTTTAAAATTAATGGTCATACCATTTGTTCCCATTAAATATCTATCCTTGTTAGTTACTGTCTACTTCAGAGCTTTGGAATTTTTACACTTAAAATACCATTCGGGAATTTTGTAACTACTGGTAGCAGGTGGTTTTGAATTGGGAGTATTTAAAGAAAGTGTTAGGCTGAAGCCCAGAGACGGCAAGTGCTGAGGAGAGTAAGGACAGAACGCCTAGGCTCAATTCGCCCAATCTACATGAAAACGATCAAATGTTCTCATGTGACCAATGTAACAAGCACACTGAGAGCCTCAGGCCGACATTTTAGATAGGAGCAGAATTTAGATGCAAGGATCCTTGGGACGTCTAGGCTAACAAGACCTCTATTTACCTGTCCCTAGTGACACCTCAACCTCCCAAAGTGTCCCCTTTACAGCCCTTATACATACTTGCCACCGTCGCGCGGCGGAAAAGCTGAACTACAAATTCAACCAGGAACACAGAAACAGCACTTCCGGCGACTGGAATCGCACAGTCCCCACTTCCTGAGGCTAGAAAATTAAGTCCGGGTGGGAACTTACTATAGCAAGTTCCGATCTCGTCTTTCCGATTTTGGGGCGTTTCCCTTTCTCAGTTATTTTATTTTTATATGTGTGTGATCGTACACTTGAGGTGCGGATCCCCTACAGTATATGTACTGGGAGCTGACCCTTGAGCAACTTCTGCAGCCCCGGAGGCTAATCTAAATTTAATTCTAATTGATGTCAAGGTACCTTACTAGTCTCTATTCTAGAATTTGAAACCGGCAGACTAATCTAGCAGTTCAGGAAGGCGGAGTACAATTTTTGAAACACTCCCATGAACGGTAGAAGAACTTAGGAGACTTGGAGCTAGACTTGTGTTATTTGGACGAATTAGTATCTACGGAACTTTTATTTTATTTTTAAAAACAAGGTATCACTTAAGTGTGTTACTCTGCTGGGCTGGGACGAAAATACAACGTGGCTGAGGCGGCTGGACCCATCTCTTTTGCATTTGGCTCCTACTACTGGGCAGGGGTGGAAGGAACGAGTCTGTTTTTACTTCCATTCTCTTTACTAGTACCTAGAAATTACATTGAGAAATACAGAGGCCTAGGAGCAAAATTCACAATGAATTAAGGCATTAAGAGCCTTGAGCTTGGAGGTCATCCAGGAAGTAACTTTAAAAAAAAAACTTATCCACTGTGTGATTTAGTTTAAGTGCCTCCCCATCTGCCATTAGCCGGCCACAGGAGCAGGCACCAAGCATTCTTGGGTCTTTTTTTTTTTTTTTTTTGAGACAGGGTTTCCCTGTGGCGCATTTTTGGGTCTTTATGCAAACAGCTGAAAACAAACAGGAGCTCACTTACACAGGGGTCCACTGTGCCCAGTTCCTCACTCCTCTAGGTAGTAGTACAACGTGCCGATGCGTTCGCTTCTAGTAGAGAGAGACTCGGGCAGCAGTCGACGTCTATTCCCGTCTCTGCTCTGGATGTGCCGCCTCTTCCTTTTAGCGCAATACCCAATGGAATGCTAATAAACCCAGAAGCAAAAACCAGGCTGGACCAGAATTCCAACCAGCGCCTGGGTGGCTCCAGTATGTCTGCAATGCCCAAGAACTACAACTCCCGGCGGGTAGCGCGCCCAACACCGCTGCGCATGCTTGTAGTGCTGAGGTCTATGGCACGCCGAAGGCTGGAGTCTCAACGACGCGTGCACGTGGAGGAGGAGCGAAAGGTGTGCAGGGGTCGGAAAACACGCTCTTCCGTAACTGGTTGGCTAATTCTGGTAGTTGGCGAAACATCTGGTTTACAAGTGAGGTGTGAGAAGGTGAAGAAAGAACGGGCGGGAAGAACTGATACAAATATACCCACCCACATTCACATTCACGTGCTCCCAGGCCGGAGTCCCGGCAGGGAGCTTTAAGGGGAAGTGTTGAATTCGGCCGGTCCCTGCCTCACGAGCAGCGCGAGAAAAGACGAAAGTCTTCGCGGAAGGGAAAGCCGGCTAGTCTGGCGTCGCGCTAAAGGGCGCCAGGGGCGGGGCGGGAATAACCGCGGTTGGAGCGGCCCAACGTTTCCAGAGCGAGCCGCGGGCGCCGTGCGGGGTCACCGAAGCACGGCCATGCGCATGCGCGCGCGCCTTTGCTCGTGGGCGTGTGGGAGGCGGGCCGGAGCGGCAGAGGGAGGGCCCAGCTGGTTGTCGCTCCTCCTCCGCCGGCTCTGCCCCCTCCTGGGCCTTGTGGGCCGGGCAGCCATTTTGGGAAGAGCTTTGTTATGGTTGTGGGCTCGTCACCTCTGCTGGTCGGAGAAGCTGGGGGCGCGTTCTTAGACGCCGCGACTCGCCCTTGACCGTAGCCCCGCCGCTGCCGGGTGAGTGCGAGTTCGGGACATCAAGCAGAAGTGGACCTCGAGTCGCCCCGGCACGGGCTCTGCTGCTGCCTGACTGGCCGCCTATGAAAACTAGTTGGAGGAAGGTCTTGCACAGGTGGTTGGGTGTAGGTCCGCCTGGTGGGCGAGCGGAACTGGGAGTCGTCTAGGTGGAACGTCCCCCTCCCCCCAACGGGAGGAGCCTTGCACACTCGCGTCGCCGCGGCGGTTCCAGAGAGCTCCGACTTCAACTTCGGTTCTGGGTCGGAAACGCTCACCTGCGGCTCCGGCTCCTTTCCAAGAGTTCCGGCTTAGTGGTGGTTGAGTGACTTCGTTTACTCGGCTCTTACCCTTTCCTTAATAAGAGCCGAAGGCTCTGTTTTCCAGTTAAGAGAACCTTAACGAGGAAAAAGTCGTGTAAGTCAGATCTGGGGAAAAGGGAACTTTAACGCCCGGAGTCCGGGTTCCCCGGGGTGGTGAGACCTTTTCCCTCAGATTTTCTTACCAGTTACCTACCGCACTCGTCCTGTTGGGAAGGAGGATTGGTCTTGAAGTGGTCTCAATAATGATTTCTATTCCATGCTAAATCTCCCCAACCCACAATTTTTTTTTTTTAAAAAACGAATCTAAAATGGCTGTAGCCTGGGGAAGTACCCTGTTTAAATGCTTAAATACAGTAACATTTCGGTCGTTTTTCCCTGTGGGACATTGGCCGTTTTTGCAATGGGCCTCTCTGGAGAGGATAGGTGAAAACAAAGGTGAGTGAGTGAGGCTCAGGAAGTTTACTTGAGAAGTTTACATAAGAATGGGTGCGGTTTTGTTTTTGTTTCTTGATAGTGGCGAGTAGTGCTGAAATTCTGCTGTAGTACCAGTTTTGTCTGCCGCTTTTGTGCTCTGAGGTTGGCTTGGGTAATGTGTTGAATAGTTTTACTTTAATGTTTTTTGGTTACTCGGAAAACCTGAAGTTAGTGGCTGTTCATGTTTTTTGTTTAGTAATAACCAGCTTTCCTCTGTAAATCTCATGATAGAACTCAGGAGACCGAAATTTGTAGTTTGTGGAGATCTCAGGTTTTTAAAGGTCGTTTTCACTTCAGATTCCACGAAGTTTAGGTGTGGGGACACCAGACGCGGCATTTAGGTATTTATAAAATAACAGTTTTGCAAGTGAAAACATCTTCAGAAGTGGAATGCCAGGTGTTTATGCCTTTTTAAAAAGTCCTTTTTTTTCCCTCAAAACAAACAAACCCACGCAGCCAGAAATTAACAGAAACAGCAGAAAATTTTAGTTTTTGGAAAGGTGTGACTGAGTTGAAGTCACAAGATAGCTGATCTTTCAGAGACTTTGTTTCAATTCCTTTCACACATTCTTTTAAACCGGAGGTTTTTGTCTGTTCTTCTAGGAATTTTACTTTTTATGTGTAGGGGTATTGTGCCTGCATGTATGTCTGAGTACAGTGTGCATGTACTTTCCTAGAACTGGAGTTGGACATTTGTGAGCTGCCATGTGGGTGCTGGGAATCAAGCCTGAGTGCTCTAGAGGAGCAGCCAGGGACCTTAACTTTCTCTTCGAAGAAAATCATGTAAAGTTCTTTTCATGAATTATAAGTTAATTGCTTTCTGTGTTGACATTATTACTTAACAGTATTTGGGAAGAGACCTTATTATAAATTCTGAGTGTTCTCAAAATGGCTTGCATTTGTTCATCCAAACATTCTTTCAGTTTATTATGGACAATGTGCTTTCAGGATTCTTGAAATTGGGAAGAGGGATGAGAAGCCTTTATTTGAATTAAACATGTTTTTAAAAAGATTTATTTATTAAGTGTGCAGCATGTATGACCTGCAAGCCAGAAGAGGGTGCCAGATCTCATTACAGATGGTTATGAGCTTCCGTGTGGTTGCAGGGAATTGAATTCAGGACCTCTGGAAGAGCAGCCAGTGCTCTTAATCTCTTAGCCATCTCTACAGCCCTTAATTTAACAATTCTTTAATTGTTTAAAATCCTAGTTGAAGAGGAGGGTGCATTCAACCACTGCCATAATTTGCACATAGGAAATCTTGGAATGTATTTTGTGTGCTTTTTTTTTTTTCAGTTTCACTTTGTAGATGAGTGGTTCTCAACCTTCCTAATGCTTCAGTAATTACTAAATCAGTACAGTACTTCCTAATAAAGTTCTTCCTGTCCTGGTGACCCCCAACCATAAAATTATTTATTTGCTGCTTCATAACTGTAACTTTGTGACTGTTATGAATCACAATGCAAATAAATATTCTGGAATTAAAGGTGTGTGCCACCATACCTGACTACTTTTTATTTCAAATGTGGGTAATTGAAACCAGAGTCCAGTGCCATGCTACAAGCATACTATCATATAATTTGTTTTTATTAGTTTAGTTTATTATTTAATGTGCATAAATGTATATGCATCACATGTCTGTCTGGTGCCTGCAGAGGTCTGAAGAGGGCCTTGGATCGCCTAGGACTGGAGTTAGAGTTTGGTTGTAAGCCATCCTGGATTCTTGGAATTAAATCCAGGTTCTCTGCAAGTGCTTTTAACCACTGAGATAAATCTCAAACCTCTATAATTTATTTATTTATCAATTTTCAAGACTGGTTTCTCTATATAGTTTTGGAACTTGCTCTTTTAGACCACTGTCCTCAAACTCAGAGATCCATCTGCCTCTACCTTCCAAGTGCTGGTATTAAAGTCAAGTGCCACTGCCCAGCTTTTATGTTTTTAAATTCTCATTTAAAGATAAAATACAATTCTCAATCTTCCTTCAGAAGATAGCATATCTTAATTTTGTGGTTTAAGACTAATGTGCCAGGGAGAGAGGTTGTTGCCCAAATTTTTTTTTTCTTTGAGACAGTTACTGCATAGTTTTGGCTGCCCTGAAACTCTATGTAGACCAGGCTGGCCTCAGATATACCTGCCTCTGTCTCCCAAGGTCTGGGATCAAAGGTGTGTACTAGAATGCCCAGCTCAAAGTGCTTTCTGTTTATTAACTTAATTGCTTTGTGATGGTGTTGTGAGGTTGTCTTTTATGTTCCTTGTATTGAAGCTTGATTGAATTGAGTACCTCAAGGATGTTAAGCAAGGACTCTTATACTTAATTGTGCCCCTAATGTTGAGACTAGCTCTAGCCAAGTTGCCTTGGACTGTGAACCTGCTTTTCCTCCTCCTCCCAAGTAGCTATGATTACATGTGTATAACATCATGCCTTGCAGAGCAAATTTTTTTTTTTTTTTTGGGGTTTTTTGAGACAGGGTTTCTCTGTATTGTTTTGGAGGCTGTCCTGGAACTCACTCTGTAGACCAGGCTGTCCTCGAACTCACAGAGATCCACCTGCCTCTGCCTCCCGAGTGCTGGGATTAAAGGCGTGCGCCACCAACGCCCGGCCAGAGCAAATGTTTTATTCAATATTTTGTAGTTGAGAAAAATTAGGCTAAGACCTATTTGGCTAAATAAACAGTTGAGGCCATAAAAGCCTAAGTGGACTGTCATTGTGGTTGGCTTACTGCCTTTAACTGGGGAGTGCAGGTTTGTTTGTTAGTTGTGTTCTTGTTGGTTGGTTGTGGGTTTTTGTTGTTGTGCTTTGTTTTGAGACCTAGTCTCACTCTGTAGCCTTGGTTGGCCTGCAGTTTGCTATGCAGGCACAGTTGGCATCAAATTCAACAGAGATCTGACTGCTTCTGCCTCTCTAGTACATCTGACCTTAGTTGTTTTATGTTTGTTTTTGTTTAGTTTTTGCAATAATGGAGGTTGAACTGCTTGCCTTTAAACATGAAAGTTAAACTGTTGTAGCATTAAGGGACAAGAACCATTTTAAGGCATCCTAACAAAAAAATTGTTCACAGAAAAGGCAAATTTAGGGTGGGCAAGATAGCTCAGTTGGGTAACTGCTAAGCCTGAGAGGGCCTGAGCTCGATACCTGGGATCTTGTGTCATTGTCAGGAGAACCAACTCCAGTAAATTGTCCTTTGACCTCTACACACATGCTGTGTAAAAAAAAAAGAAAGGCAAATTTGAGCTGGGGTGATGGCTCAGGGCATAAAGTACTTGCCTCACAAACATGAGGACTTGATTTGTAACATCAGAACTCATGTGAAAGCATTTCTAGTCTGTTGTCCAGTGTTCATACAGGGAAATGGAAATGAGACAGGAGAACCCCAGGAAGCACATGGGCCTAGTAGCCTGGCATATGCAGCAGAAGCAAATGAGACTGTCTCAGACAATTATAAGACATGACTGACATTGGGGATTGTCCTCAGAACATCTAGTGCAATGGCGCATATTCACCCGCATTCACAGGAACATACCAACACCACATACACAGATTTATTTATTTGTAAAGAAAGGGCACATTTGGGTTTGTCTTTTCATACAAATGGGAAGGAGATTCTTGGTACACAGATAACAATTACTTTATAAGTCATTGTAATTGGTATTATTTGGAATTTAGCATGTGGTTTTTTGTGCTGGAGATCTAACACTCCAAGCTACTCCTAAATCAAACCCAATGATTTCTGTTTGCTATTGAAGTCTTCCTCAAACAAGACTACCCCTAGCCAAAGAATTAAAAAAAAAAAAAGGTTGTATAAGAGAAGCTTCTTTAACTTTAACTGTAAGATCCATTACCTAATGTAATATAAATTGAGTGTTATGAGTGATTTCAAATACACCAGACAGAAAGGGAACTATTACTTTATTTTCCTTTACTAGAGCAATCAATCAGCCCTTTATTGATTTACTTGGCAAACTAATTTTTTAGCAAAACAGACATCAGAGTCAGTACTGTTAGTGCTGGTGGCTGGGGGTATCAGGTAAACCATAAAGCATCATTTCGACAACCAAAGAGCCTAACAATTTGCCACCTGAAGTATAAAAATACAGGGTAACAGCATAGCTATATTTTCCTTTTTCTTTCTGTTTTGGGGGAGGTGGGATGATGGAGCATAGTGGTGGTTCTGTGGATCAGGACAAGAACTTTGTACATGCCATACTATCAATGGACTATCCACCAGCAGCCCAGTAGTCTTTATTTGTTTGTTTTTCGAGACCGAGTTTCTCTGTGTAGCTGTATAGACCAGGCTGACCTCGAACTCACAGAGATCCTACCTGCCTCCACCTCCCAAGTGCTGTGATTAAAGGCATGCACCACCACCACCCAGCTCAGAGAACAACTTTTAAGAGTCAGTTCTTGCCTTCTAGCATGTGGGTCCAAGAATAGAATTCAGATTGTTGGGCTTGCCTTTATCCACTGAGCCATATTCCTGGCTCTGCACCTCACTTTTAAGTACATAAAAAGTGTAAGATAGCCAGGCGTTGGTGGTCCACGCCTTTAATCCTAGCACTTGGGAGGCAGAGGCAGGCAGATCTCTTTGAGATCGAGACCAGCCTGGTCTACAGGGCGAGT